CGTGTGTGTGTGTGTGTTTGTGTGTGTGTGTGTATGTGCGTTTGCATATGTGTGCATGAATGTATGCATGTAGACACACTCATGTAACCAAGCAACAACTTTTTTCACAGGGCTAACTGTCCCTTGGATAGGGCTCCATACCTTACTCTGTCAACTCGGATACGAGTCGTAAACTTTCATAAGCTGTTTAAGAGTTGGTTTGGTCCCCAAGGTTCCTCCTGGCCTCTAACCTTGAGAACCCTGACATCACTGGACAACCCAATAGCAAGATGCACTGAAAGCTTTGGGGTCTAGGGCACCTAGACTAAAGACACCGGGAAGCAAACCGAAAAGGGTCGAGCACATGGCCTTCACACCCAAGGCAGCAAGCCTTGAGCCCTCGAAGATCTTGTGCAGCCATACAAAGCCCTGTGATATAGAAGTCTCAGCCATTAGCATTGGTATCTTCTTGTCGTGCCTGTATGCCTAGAGCTCAGCATCCCATTCTGATCCTAAAGGCCCCTAGGGCAAGCCATATCCTATTTTATCAAACTCGTAGAGGCCTTTAAGCTCTTCCTTAAAGAAGTGTTTCAACAACCCCCCAGGCTTCACCAACTAATGGGGTCAGGCGCTCGGCTGTGCACAGCTTCGGAGCTCTTTGATGACGAGGCTGGTGGTGAGGTTGAGATTCGCCTGCAGCAATGTCTCTTTTTTGTTGAAAGGGCTCTTCCATTGAGGGCTATAGAGTAGAGGGCTTATATATGTATATACACGTACAGATATAGATATAGGAAGAAAAAAAATATATATATATATATGTACACAGGAGAACATAGCTGTAGCTATAGATACAGCTATAGCCATGGCTATGGACGTTTAGTTAATAGCATGTGGATTACAGATCAGGTTCGATTCTAGGTTAAAGGGTTTAGGCTTCAGGTCTTAGATATAGGTTTAGATAAAGGCAAAGATTTTGGCAATATTACAGGTATAGACATAGGTAAAAGTGTTGGCATATTGGCCTATAGGTATGTATATGTATATGTATGTGTGTGTATATATATAGAGAGAGAGATAGAGATTTAGGTTCATAGGTACAAAGATCTACAGATGTGTAGGCACACCGGTTTACAGGTCTACGGACATAGAGAGACATAAAGGGTGTGTATGTATATACATATACATTTATACATGTATATATATATACATACACATACATATATATATATGCTTATGTAGATTTATGTAGATATGTGGCTTTTGACATATACATCTAGAGAACTGAACAAACAAATGCATGTATATATATATACATGTATATTAGGCATGTGTATGCTCGTTTGTCTGGAACAGACAGACAGACAGACAGACAGATAGATATCAGAGAGAGAGACAGAGAGAAGCTCGGGCTTCCTGTTTGTCCTAGAGTTTGCCAAGGGTTTCAGGGTTTAGGGCTTAGGGTTTAGTTTGCGCAGGCATGTTTATCGACTTCAAGGAGATCTAGGCTTCTAGCCTAGCCGGTGTAAGGTTGCCATCCGTGCTCGAGGGTAGTATCTATACTTATCAAGGGAATGCTGTTGTACAAAGTGTGCTTGTTGTCAAGAACCCCGGCCACCTCCTCCTGACTAATTTGCAGAAACACCTACAGGGGGCGAGTTTCGGTGGCAGGCAAGAGACGATCCAGACGAGCCGCAGTGAGCTCAGGAGGGCTTTGGTCGTGGACTCTTTGGTTTAACTGGGGTTTAGGGTTTGAAGGGTCGAGGTTTTCGTGTTTCTTTAGGATCCTCCTTTCGACACCTCTAAGACTCTAAGATAAGGGCCGTCACAGGGATCCGGTATTGCAGAGCCCTTCATGTGTCTTTGCTGGCTTGTACCTTGTTTTTCTGTCTCTCTCTCTCGCTCTCTCTCTCTCGCGCTCTCTCTCTCTCTCTCTCTTTCTCACACTCAGTGTATATATATACACGGTATTATATAGGTATATACGGTGACCACTTTTAAGTATGTGCAGGGCGGGCTCGGGCCACGAGCCACGGCGGTAGTATAAAGTATTAATTTACATCTCCGCATGTTTGAATGTATGTAAGTACCGTATACACTCGTGTCACACACACACACACACCCACACACACACACACGCACACGCGCGCGCGCGTGCGCGCGAAGAAGTAGGCCGCCTGCCATGTTGGCGATTTTTAGTGACTTGAGAGATCTTCAGATGAGATTTGAGTTTCTGCTTTAGGGCTTAGAGAAAACACCCTAACTGCTGCAGTTAGGGTTTTGAAGGTCAGTAGTATTCCGATGCACCATTTACATAAAGGGGAGTTCTTGTGCATTGACCGTGTGGCTTCGTGGCGGATGTGCATGCTTTCATATCCTCTTAGCGGCCCTAGCTGCCGCAGGTAAGGTTCTTTTCCCCTCCCAGCTCAGCCCACCCAGCCCAACAGCGCAGCTAGGCTTGTTTCACTTCCCAACCCAGTCAGCCCACTCAGTTTTTAGCCCAGCCCCCCAAGCCACCCCAGCCCAGCCCCCACCCCAAAACAGCCCTAACTGCCGCAGTTAGGCTTTTCTCCCAACCAGAACCCACCCAGCCCAAAATAGCCCTAACTGCCGCAGTTACGCCTACGCAATCGCCACGCATTCAAAATTCAGACTCTAGATCACGACATTTCTTTCCACATGTTTGTGCGTCTGTGTTTGCTGGTGCATATGTTCTACAGCCTCGAATCTCGAACTATAGCTTTCGATGGAAGCTGGCGCTGGTGGCAGGTGACAATTTCCAAGGTGGTCTCAGACGATATCACTGAAAAGTGGCAGAGGCATGCTCTTGCTTTTGCCATATCCAGATCAGTTTATATGCAGTGCAAGTGATGGCAGACATCGATGCGGCGCTGGGCCTTTTCGACAGAAGCGGGGCGCCGCGATGTTTGTGCCCACCTCATCCTTCCTCAACAAACACAGGGAGTCTCGGTTCCATGCAAGATTACCCAACAGGAAAATGAAGAAAATATCCCATGCCCGAGCCCGTGTGAGCCGCTCTTGCAAATGTCTGACTGAGGTACAGCCGTTCGCGACTGATTCCCGTCTGACTTTAGATGGCAGCCGGCACATGTGCCAGCACGTTCTGGATTTCCAAATTCAGCTTGCGGCCTTCTAGCCCCCAAGCAGACGCACAGGTTGGGCGCTAGCCGCATGAGCTTCGGTGTTGGTTTGCGGATGAGCTCTTTCACTGTTTTTGTTTCTTAAATGATACCTGAGGAGAAACATAACAGCTGAGGTTCATCGTAGAATGGGCCGTGTTCCGGGAGCCAAGATACCCTCCAAAAAGCATGCGCACATGCAGCGTCTTGACTGCGGCATTGTACCTACTGCTCTTGGTTTGGCATTCGCCATGTACCGGTTCCGCCGATACGTGAGATCTCGTGGCGAAGCGTGATTTGCTATACGCGATGCATTGTTGGCGATGGGCTTTAATATTAGGGTCTGGGTGGTGATGGGTTGGGTATGGACAGCGCGCTGTGAAGACTTTGCCACCATTTCGGACATTCATGACGAGCGAGGGCGCTGGGACCAGTTTGCATGTTCGAAGAGCCGGAAACCGGCGGAAGGCGGACGGTCGTTCTACACCTGTAGCCAATGAACAGCACTGAACTCCTTAGTTCCGATTCCGCCGGTCCAAGACAACCGAGCTCACGCCATTTTGTGGGGTTTGCAAGGATGGCAACATGCTCATGCTCGCACTCACTGCTGGGACCAAGAAGCTGAGATCTGTAATGCATGATGTGCTACTAGCATGGAGGCACCGGCCTGATGCTGATGCCATCCTTGCCCAGGGGACTGTACTTTTTGTGGGTTCAAGTCAAAATTCCAGCATGATGCTGGCATCATTCCTATCCGCTCGACGCTCTCATGATGCCTCATAGAGCAGGCCTTGCTTGGTGCTGCATGACCAGTCACATGAAAAATACATCAGCTGTCTACATGGCAGATCCACTTGGCTCAAGTTGCTACCCGTTTTTTCTGTCATCTCCGAAACGAATCATAGTTGAAGCCTGTTGCGTTCAAATGTCATGACCTATTATTAAGTTATGAAGCTGCGTGCCCTCTCCTCGCAACATGGCTTGCCAGCGTGTGGACGATGTGAATCAGGTTGCCGTGCCAATCTCTTGCAGGAGCGACGGGAGACGTTGTTAAGCCGCTTAGCACTTGACGCCTGTGATTTTGTGCCGGCGAGGGACCTCGGCCGCGACCTGCTGATCAGTACTCAAAATGGACGGAGGGTGGAGGCCTCCATTTGCCCAAGCCGGTTTCTGCCATTCTGCCATTTGCAAGATCTATTTTTCCCGCATTGTCATTTTAAGATATCGCACAGCAGACTCAGTAGTGGTTGTTTGAACGCACGGATTGGCGCCAGGGCATTCTGCGGAAGGAGACCGAGGAAGGTGTTTACCTCAAGTTTGGCCCCCAGTATGCAAGCCGCGCTTTGTTTTTTATTTCATCCAGCCTATCGAGCATGACCTTTTGCCGTCTGTGTGCATGGAACGCATGGACCTTCCAGCAAGACGTCGGCTTTGAACCGAGGCTGATCGTCTGATGGAAGGACATGCTGACGTGGCCGCGTTACATGAAACAAAACCCTGAAAGAGCCAGGACATCAAGCAGATCACACGCATGGACCGGCTTGGCAAGGACATGTTCTGATTTCGTATGTGGGTGGGTGGTAGCGGCAGGGGTCCCCGGTTGGGTGTCCTCATAAAGAACAATCTTACGTTACGGATGGGATCCCTACTACGGCCCCTGATTTGGCAACTTGCATGTGGTTTCCTACGATTGGCATTTCCATGGTAGATCCATTTTCCATGAAATGTGTCCAGTGTCGCATGGCGAGCATGCCATCTACAGGACGCAACGCCATTGCCAACGTCAGAGGATCAGCTGCCCGCGCACGCGGCGCGCGAGGCCACGGCGTTGGATGAACAGCTTAGCTTAAACGGATTGTCCCGGCCTGTTCGCAAGACGAGCCAATGTTGGGCATGCCAGTGCTTCTCCACGTCTACGATTGTGGGCAGGCTTGAATGTCCTGGTGATATTTTTGTGCACGCGTAGACAAGGATGATAAGGGTGTAAATTGCGGGTCTGTATCAGTGCAACCAGGACCGCCATGGTGCAATCAAAAGCGCTGCGCAGGTCAATACCATTTGTGGCTTCAGCCGAAATGGTGAATTCTACTTTTACAAAGGAAACCATGATGGGAAGCATACCCAGAAACACTTCGAAACGTTATTCCAAAGGTCTGCTGGCCAGACTTGCTGATACGGCCTCAAATCATTCATTCCATAGAAACCCCGAAGCCCACCCAAAAGATGGTAATGGCCTCTGCGTGGCTGCACATCCATGCCCACGTGCCGTATGCTGATTGCGCTGGGCATCCACTGGCTACAAGCCTTGACCAACATGGTATTCTCGTCACCTAAGAAAAGTTCGTGTGGGAGAGGCAGTGGTGTGCAGTGCCCTTTCACAAGATGGCTTCGCCTTCAGATATGTGATAGGAAGCGGTTTGTCATTCTACACACATCTTGCCGGCAACCGGAGATGTCAGGCACGGTGCGTCCAAGTCCTCAACAAGGCTGTGTGTTTTGAAGCCTTGATTCTGAAGGGTCCACGGGCCTCAGTTGCATGGCAGGCCTTGACCCAAGTTGGCATTGGTGGGGCCTACCACGCTTCTGTTGAGGTGGGAACCCGCTTGCCGTACTTGCCAGGCACCCTCTGCTAGTCAAGCAACCGTGACGATATGCCGATGAGGTCAATGGTTTGGAGTGGGATGTAGGAGGGTACAACAGGCGCGCACACATGCTTACGTTCACACCGTCACGCCATCACACCTATGCATGTTGATTTCAAAGGACAACTCCCGCTGTGCATTGCCGCGAGCCCCGGCAGCATCCGTACCACCACTACAAAACGACGGCCACGTTCTCGGCAAAGTGTTGTCACATGCAGAGTCATGAAGATGATGCACGCAATGCTTCATGACTCTACTGCCGCAGTTAGGCTTTTTTCCCGTCCCATCCAGCCCAGTTAAAAACATATGCGCGGCGCGGAAATCGAACCCGAAGACTTTCACTCAAGAGCAGAAACACTTCCACCAGGCTAGACGCTCCGTGTCCCATAGCGGCATCAGTTCATTTCATTGGTTGTATCACTGCTTTGGAACAGTTTGAAACCCAGCTGCGGCAGTTAGGCCGTTTTCCCTACCGCCACTACATTCCACCGAATTCATTAAACTCTTAATCCCGTTGCAAATCCCTGGTACGTCCTTCTCCTGCATGATGTCGTTGTCGTGCTCGTGGAAGAAGGCGCCCAGGATGCGCGCGCGCGCGGGTGTGTGTGTGTGTGTGTTTGCGTTTGTGTTTGTGTGTGTGTGTGCGCGTTCCCCCTGGCAGCCTCCAATGAGCAAGGATGCGAGAGCTATGCACGACGACGTTAAACAGTAATTTCGAGGATGGGGGGTCTCACGTGTAGCGAAGCCTTCGTGCTCCGGCACGAACGAACTTATCACGTGCACAAGCGCATACATGTGCACACCATGCCTGGCACGGATAGGAACAGTAGCAATGACAGTATAAGGGAGAAGACTAGTTGTCCGAAAATATTTGTGGTTTTTTTGTAGTTATGAACGTATAACGAGTAATAGACAGATATTTTGGCGCCAAAGCTCTTGATTTATAGATATATGTCATGTTTATAGTCGGGGTCATCAGGTCTGCTACATTGTGTTGCACGGCCCTCTTACCAGGGTACGTAAGACTATCTTTGTAAGTTGAGTGTTGTTTCACTGTGGTGTCGTCACCGTGCATATCCAACATTAAGCCTTGTGGTCACGGATCTTTATGGTTTTGCCCACCATGACCTGCCATACATGTCTGAGCGTTTGTACTTGTATATACACGGATATGAATTTTTGAACTGAGGTAATGTCAAACTCACTAGCTACAACACTTGTTGCTGTGACAACTCAACACGTACTCTCACAGCGACCCGGGCCCCAAAATGTAGGCGGCTAGACGGGGATACGTTTGCTAGTGGTGTAGACCTCCATGTTATCGTCATGCCACCACAGTAGGCTTTATTGGGATTGCCTGCCAAATTTGTCGGTTGTGTTGATAGGGTCTAAATACTTGACTCTACGTATATCGCATTCGCAATGCTCCTGAACCTTTTGGCGGCAACCTTCGGCAGGTCTTCAGGGCGGAAATGGAGGTTTCCGAACATAGGGGACCCTCATATAGTACCCTAAATAGTAGGATCCTTATTATAAGGACCCAAAATAAGGTACCCCCCTATTTGCAGAAACTCCCAAATGTTTAATTTTTCAGCTATCGTGAGCCCAAGACATCCTGGAGAATGCACAGGGTGCATTGAACTTTGTGTGTGTTGAAACCCGGAGGCTAAGGGCATATAGTTACATTTGGAGTATCATGTTTGTTTTGGATCAAAGGCTTTCAGAACGAAAACTACCAGAACCAGCCCTATCCCTTCTGGTTTTGTAAGGTTGTAGGTTGAAGCTGTAACAGCATTCCCTGCATAGTAGTGTAGATGGGACTCTTCAAAAGACATTGGTGAGTGTTTTTTTGGGTTGATGCTTTAGGATTGGAGCAATAGACATAAGAAGCCATATGTCATGTGTAGTTTTGTCTTTGAGGGTTCTGACCAAGACAGGAAGTCTTCAAACCCTTTGGTTTCGGACCTTACAAAACATGTGTTTAAGAATTCAACAAAATCCCCCTCCTGGCCTAGAATCTCAAAAGCCCAGAATCGCAAGGCCCTGCATTTCTGGCTCCTCAGTGGTTTATGACGGCCCCTACGACCAATCGCTTCCTGACAAGCTTAGATGGGCCTTCCGGTTCCTGAGGCTTAGCGCCAGATCTTAGCTTTATAGTTGGGTGACAAGTACACCACAGAGGTTGGCTGAGACATGGCCTGGCGCAGTGGGTTGAGTCTGTTGGGTTCGCAAGTTAAAGGCTGTAGGAGTCTAGAGTTCATGCTTTCAAGGTTTGAGAGCTAGGTCTGAATGATTGTGCTTCGTGATGGTGAGGAAGGAAGTGTTTGAACGTCGCGCTGCCGCTCTGTAGCTTTTGATCTGCGAGATCCCGCCGTCTGAGCTGCGCGGTTCGGTATTTTGCATTTTTTCCGTCATATCCGGTATTATACGGGTCGGAATGATTACCAAGACTATTCCATGAATTTCTTTATATATTCTATAGATATGCGATAGTACAGCCCCGCAACCTATTTTCATTGATTTTTATGGGATAATGCGCCGGCGGATTCCTTTTGGGAGTGTGTTCTGAAACGGTCTAAGACTTAGTAATAGTAGCAAGAATACGAATAACTACTACAGCAAATATGATAATAACAATATAGGAAGAATAACGACTATAAGTCCCCTGTAATGTCGGGACATTAAGGGTTTAGGGTGGTCAGCATTTTTTCCGGGTTCTCAGGTTGTGGGAGTTGGGGGAAGTAGCTTGAAAAATATCCTTGCCCATAACTTACACAGCAGGTTGCTGGATGATGGGTCTTGTTAGGTCCATACAGAGTTTAATGAACAGCGTCATCCTGCAAAATTGGTAAATGTGTCTAGGGCTACCCGTCGATGAAGATTTCAAATCAGCTGTCGAAGCTTCTCTGCTCCAAATAACTCAAGTAGATACCATGTATTGACTTATTGAAGCTCGGAATCCCCAAGAAGATTTGTTGTTTACTTGGCACTGCAGGCTTTCTTCTCCTTAAACCCAAAGCCATTTCAACTTTGGCTGAGAAGCCTTCAGTCCAAAACCCCAAACCCAAAACCTACACACTCGTCGGGGGGTCCTGCGACGTTATGCAGGGATCACCAACATTGATACCGGCATGTGCGTCAACGATGCCATCCTCAACCCTAGGGTGTGAAGACCTTGCATCATGATCTTGAGGGCTCAGGGGTATTATGGTTAGTGTTTGGGATGTAGGTATAGACCCGAAACCCCAAATCTGAAAGGTGAACCCCAAAAACCCCAAATCTGAAAGCTGAACCCCAAACCCTAACTCACAATTCCCGAGCCAAAACCTAAACCACAAAGCCTAAACCCTGCACCAGGAATGTCTGGAGCTCCTCTACTTGCTTCGTGAAGGGCACAGGCCAAGCAGTTGCGTGTTGGATTTAGAGTAGAATTAACAAGAGTACCCACAGCCCCTGAATCCCACTGTAGGCCTGGCTGAACGACATTCGACAAAAGGCTCACTACCGAAATCCTTATGAAGCACACGGGGATTCTTGTCCGGGTTTACATTCTGTTGTGGTTGTCCACCTGAAACCCTGAGTCCTGGAAACCAAAGAAGAGAAAACATGTTGTCCTTTAGCTTAAATGTATATACCTAGAAAGAGCATGAGCAGAAGACAATCCAATGCGTCAAACAGAAAAAGATGAAACATCATTCAGAAGCAATATTATCCATGGTTGTCACTATCATGAAGGTGTAAGCCAATCCCACAGAATCCTGTTCTGATTGGTAGGGTTCAGACCCCATCAAAGGCCTCAAAGGAACCCCAAATCTAAAAAAGGGAGAGTTTGCCGTGTCTGTGCTAAACCCTGAACCCTTAAATGCTGAGTGAGTACACTTTGCACTCTTCTAGGAGAGTATGAAGCTATGATCCCTTATAGACCTGAGAGTATACACTTTTGGGGGGCTTAAGAACCCTAAACCCTACTCTGCAAGGGGCCCCGGGTTTCATGACCAAGTCGGGCTCTAGAAGGTGGCGCCGCTCCGCAGCAGTCTTTCTTTTCTGAGGGAGGGGAGAAGATGGAAGGGGTGGGGTTGGGTACGGTTTCCTTTTTTTTGTTTGTTTTGGGTTTCGGGTCGTTGTTGGTGTGTTCGTTTGCGTACTGGGAGGTGTTTGGGCATTGGGGTGTTTGGGTCTGGGGTTCAGCTCCTGAGGCTTGGAGGCGCACGGAGTTTGCGATCGGAATATCTGCAAGCCCTAACGCCCATAGCCTGGGCCTGAACCCCAAACCCTAAGGCCTAAACCTTAAGCCCCCAAGGCCTTGCAAACCTTAAGGCACGTGGGCTCGTGATGAATGTCGCGAACCCTCTCAGCAAGCATTCGCCTGCCGGCCGCAACTGGAAGAAGGTTCCTTTCAGGGTACTGATACGGGTTGCCTAATCAGGGCTCCATGATGTAGGGGCCTTGATCAATGGACTTGGGTTTCGGGGTGGCATACAATATCATGAAGTGATGGAACTGTTAAGGAATGGTACTGCATAGTTCTTTGTGCACCTATGTTATATACTATGTTATGGGGCTACACCCTACGTGGCCTTTCCCAGTAGCCCTACTGCGAACATGCTCTTCACGTCTTTGGAGCCTGTAGGGCTCTAGGTAGCGTGGTTTTGTTGGGCTCCACATACTACAGCCACTGTAAAGGGTTCCATGTCAGGTTGTTGCAGGGCGTCGTGAGGGTGCAGCGGTGCCACTTCAGAACTTTCATGTAATGATAGTCCCGATACTGTATCATTGTACAGTATCATACCCCCAGTCCCTGTTCCAGTTATTGAAGCCCTTATATCAAGACCTTTTAGCCACACTCGATGCGAAAATGCAGCTGTAATACCGCAGCCGTCAAGAGATGCTTACGACCGACGGCAAAGGATGACCTGCGAGTGAAACCTGTTGATTCCGACCCTGCCTGGCGACGGTCCGGGGCATGACGGAACGACCTTCGGACTAGGGCCTCGCCTAGGGTTCCGAGTTGGATCCCACTTAGGGTTCTGATTAGGGTTCCGATTACGGTTCTGCTTCGGGTTCCGCTTAGGAATCCGCTGACGGTTCCGATGAGGGTTTCACTTAGTCCCGATTAAGGTTCCGCTTAGGGTTCCATGTGTAAGGTTGCGATTAGGGCTCATTGGGCCTTTGCCTGAGCCCCATAACTTAACACGCGTCGGGCTTGCGCCTTTACGGGTGGGGTGGGGTGGGGTTGTTTTTTTTTTGTGTGTCGTGAGATTGTCCGACATTGCCTGCTGGAGAGGTGGAGGTGACATCCGGCTTTGTGGGTTTAGGAAGGCCGTGGCAGCAACCCCGTGACCTCAGGCACCACTGGCCGCAGGGCCTTAAGAGGGAGGAGCTCCGAGCGGAGTGTTCCTCACGAGGCCACTCTCGAACCTCCCCATCCTTCCGCTCTTGTTGCATCTGTCACAGGCCTTGCAGAGGACGGCTGCAAGCGTGAGTTGATCACGCGGCTCGTCCTCGCCACCGCCCCCGACCTCCGCCCATTGATTCGATGGGCTTCGCTGCAGGAGCCCAACTCCGAGACGAAACCCGGAAAGAAAGAAGCCGAGGTTTGAGTGGCGCACTCTCTGGGTATGTAGACATGGTTGACGAATGCAGAGAAAAACCACGCCAAAGAAGAATAAGCTTCTATATATGGAAACATCTATGGTTTGTCAGGTTACTTCTCCCCCACCAGTGCCACCACCGAAGCGTGCTCTTTTGTGGGGGCGTCAGGTCTTCGGCCCATCGGAGCTCCAGAGGAAGAAGGCACGGCCGCTGGGACGGTGCATTTCAACCTTTCTTGAACTGGGGCTGTTTTGACACCACGCCCGGACGCATTTAACCTTTCTTGAACTGGGGCTGTTGTGACAGCACGGCTTTTTTAGCTGTCTGAAACAGAAAGCTTCTCCAGATCAGTTGTTGCCGGCATGGTTTGATCTGCAAGCCCGCGCGCAGGTCGAAGCGGTCGTCAGTGATCCTGTCGAGGAGGCCCGGACCAAGTCCCCGCACGCTTGAGCCAGAGGCTTCGTATAATTTGGGTTGTCTCGGACACATGACCCAAACGGATCCGAAGTTGAGAGTGCCAAGCTAGTCTTCCGTGCTCAGGTCACTTCCAACGCTCCTGGCTGCAAAGGCGATTGGCCAGGACCATCGCAATGAATACGATAGCATATGATCGGGATGGACCTTCCCGGTGGAAGGTCGCAAAAGATCCCAGTCTTTCCACAAACTCACAGCATCGTTCCCTTTGCAGTTGCCTTTCTGCCGTTTGCTTTTTCCTTCTCCTTTTGGGGAGCTCCTGGGGAGCTCACAGGAAGGTTGACTCCCGCCTGTTCGTCTGCTTTCAGGATGCGCCGGTGGTGGCATCAAAGGTGCGCCGGCGCTTGCAACTGCCATGGCTGGTAAGACTGATCTGCGCCCTGATCCGTTGCAGCATGAGTCGAACAAAGAGCATTGTTGGGCCCCGTTTTCCAGTTCTATAGGAGCCAGAGCCTGCTGGTCCGACGGAGCAGGCGAGTCACTGGCACATGACTTCGGAGTCTTAGCTGGCAGGCCTCACCAGAGACGACCGCTTGTGAGGCACGGGACCAGGGACTGTTGCGACACCGCGCCCGGACGCATTTAACCTTTCTTGAACTGGGGCTGTTGTGACACCACGGCTTCTTTAGCTGTCTGAAACAGAAAGCTTCTCCAGATCAGTTGTTGCCGGCATGGTTTGATCTGCATGCCCGTGTGCAGGTCGAAGCGGTCGTCAGTGA